ATGTTAGAGGCATTATTTTAACTCTCTTGCAGTTTTCCTTGATCTCACATAGAAAGAAAAGTGGCCTTTGGCATTCATTTATGAATATCATAGAGTTTATGATAAACATAAATATCTGTTACTGTCATGCATGCTAGATATTTGTGTTATACACAATATATTATTTAATTATCAGCATGAAAGTAGTAATACAATAATACTGAACACAACACTGTACTTTTTTATCATAAAAATTAGAATATGAGCAAGTTGCATTTAAGGTGGAAGTGCATGATAAAGATTTGTCTCAGATGAGAAGACACTAGAAAATTACTGGATGGCAGGGGCATCGCCAGGATTTTTCAAAGGGGGGGGGTCACAGAGGCTACTCACCATTTACACTGCTGCTCTCCCACGTATATCAGCAGGCTCAGTCATATTATCGCGGCATGAAGACTCATATCAATGGCTTTTACGGCCAAGATATTGTCATGGCGTTTTTGCCACCTGAATATTGTAGGTTGTTTGCTCTAAAGAAGACCTACCAAGGGGGGGTCACGGGCACCCCAGGACCCCCCTGGTTATGCCCTTGCTCTGTACCCTAACTTCAGTTTGCATATTCTCCATACTGTTCTTCACACATTTCCCATGGTACTGACAAGGAGAATTTGTTAAACAATCAAGAGTTTCTTCTTTTGGTGATCATTCCCTTGTTCTCATGACCTTGATGTTTGATTTGGTAATGGGACTATGAGGAGAAATTCAATACAAGTCGCTTTTAGGTGATAAAGGGTTGATAAACCCACCTGCTCCCTTCTCCCCTAAACAAAGAATCCTATTTGAAAACATGGAGGGAAAAAAAAAATGTTATGATAGATGGTCCTTTTAATTGAGTATCTTAAAATCAAAGGTAAAGTGAAGACAAACAACTAGCCAGCTTGTATTTGAAAGCCTGATTTTTTCTCTGTTTCAAATATTGTAAGTTATTCAATCAAAGAAATGCATTCTGTGTATAATATTCTTTAAAGCTGGGCTCAGATTTAAGAGAAAAAGAGAGTTTCACATTTTTTTTTTCTCAGTGAGTCAGGAGTAAGCTATCCATCTCACCCATGTTTACACAAGTCCTCCTTTGCACTGAGCCCCTTATCTTGAAACCATGGAAATTTATGACTCTCCCCCCCCCCACCCTCCATTGCTTTTGAGAGTTTTCACAGGTTTTTGTTTTCATTGGTCAAATTGCTAAGTTGTTT